AGCGGGCTCGGCCCTGCGCCCTCCCCGGCCCGCGGCCCCCTGCGGTGGGTCTGTCGGGACGTGGGGAGCCGGGCCCCTCTCCGCCCCGCGCCGGGGGGAGGCCCTGTGGGGCTGCGGGCAGCGCCGGTGTAGGTCACCTTCTGTGAATCATTACGTTTCCGTGTCCCCTCTGCTTGCGAGGCTTTTCGGGTTTCCGTGGTAGGGAGAGGAGAGGAGGAGGCTGTCGGAAAGATTTTGGGGAAGAGGGAGGTGGGGAGGGTTCGGAGGTGAGTCCCTGCAGCCCCTGAGGGGGAGACCTAAAGCCCTGTTAGCTGTCTGTCTGGCCTAGGTCTGAGATGTTTGGGTGCCTCTAGTAAATCGTGGAGCTGTGGGGTTTCATCCGGTAAGGTGGGGACAAAATACTGCTGTGCTGATGAGGCTTTGGAGCACTGAAACTATCCAGACTGCCCGTGAGATTTTACTTTTTGTTACTGCTGTACTGTGAGTTTGCTTGAAACTGCATGACGCAAAAAGTGGAATCCCACATTAATTTCTCCTCCTTTTTTTTTTGGAAAAAGATTATAGAAGCATTAAATTGCGTAATTAAATGGAGTATGATTTCATGAACCCTGAAATGGAAAGAAATTTGCAAAATGGAGAAGAAATTGTCTTATGGCAGTAGGAGCAATCGGTCTGGCTGGAGGCAAGCAGTGGACCAGGAGTTTGAACAGCAAAAGCAGATTAAAGTATTTAACTGGGTGAAGAAAATGCGATGCTAAATCCATATAGAAATGCATTACTCATTTCTTTAATGTCTTTGAAATTGACAACCGAGTTGCTGATGGAAGTCAAGGTTTTCCCTGATAAGTGGTCTATGTTAAGATAAAGTTTGGGGAATGTTCATTTGAAGAATGAAAGAGAAATAATGAACTAGTGTTGTGTTGTTCATTTGTCAGGTTGAAACAAGAGAAGATGAGGAACAAAACATCAAGTTGATTGAAATTTTGGAACTGTTGGTGGCTGCTGGGTATTTTCGAGCAAGAATCAAGGGGTTATCACCCTTTGACAAGGTGAGATCAGTGCAGTATTTTTAGAAAGCTTTTTTAAGTATATGAGGATTACATATTTTTTGTAAGTTAGTTTAGCAGTTCTAGGTGACTTCAAAAAAAAAAAAAAAAGACACTTGCAACACATGAGGCTTTCCTATGTAAATAATTCTGCAAATGACCCAGTTTCAGGCAGATAGGACCTCTTCAGTCTTGAAAAACAATTTTGTGCGGCAAGGCCTGTTTTAAAGGAGACAATTGGGTGCAAGCTAATTGCTGGTGTGCTTTTTTGTGGGTGTTGCGGCCTAACTTGGAGTCATATATGGGGAATTTTGCCCCTTTCTCAGCTGCAGTTAGAATAGCTAGAAAGACTTGATACTTGGACATAGCATGGTGATTTTAAAAAGAAGTATTCATTAATGAGAAATGAGGAATTATTTGTCTTGAGGGGCTCTGTGTAAGAATGGAGCAGTTAGCCTAGTGAGATTATTTTTGGGCTGTTTTTACGTGTCTTCAGAGTGTCGTGTATGTTAACCTTTCATTGTCCTAGGCAGGAAGTATATGTTACTGACAGTGAGCAAAGTTCAGGTTGAAAAGAGACTTCTGAATTGTTTTAGTGCTGACTCTTTGAGAAATTCCTGAAGAAGGGTTTGAAAACACAGCACTTCAGCAGCCTTGAAATGGACTCTTCTGTTTTCTGCTGTTTCTTTGGTCATAGCACAGCCTTACTTTGCCAATGCAGTTTTAGTTTCTTCAGACTGCTTGACATTACTGACCTTAGCTGCTCGGGAGGCTGTGCACACAGGCACAAAGTAGGTTTCTAAGAGACCGCCTTAGGATGTAATATCGTTGCGTTTATGTGTAGAAATGGATGTATCAGGTTAATACTTGCCTAAATACAATTGCAAAATTACCATTCCATGACAATGCCCAACCTTTACAAAAATGAGCATTCCTATTGGAAATGATCTAGCTGCTAGTATAAAAGAGATACTGGTTAACTGTTTCAGAGGGCAATGTGAGAGGGGTAATGTGTTAGAAAACCTTGTATAGAACACCCTAAGTTGCTGTGTGATGTTGGTAAGTTATTCCACATTTTAATCCCTCTTCCTGTTCTTTGCCTTTGCATCCGTTCAGGTTATCTTGCATATGTTTATGCAAGGTTGTCTTTTTAAATATTTATGTAATCTATGTAAAGATGAAGTGGCTCAGGAGTTTAAATGTGCCTAAGTATATGTAGGAACAGAGCCTGAAATAGAGATTTCTACAGAGCTGGGGATTTTGGTACTGTGCCTAGCACTTGGTGTTGCATATGTCAGCAAGCACAGAATAATAGTAGCGATGGTGTATAAATAAAGGTAAATATATGAATACAGAAATTATGATCCTTGATAAAATTTTGATAAGGGCACTTTTTAAAGATCATGACATTTAACACTGCCCTGTTTTATCTCTTGGGCTTTTTTTAATCTGCGAGCTGTTTCAAAACTAATCTATAAAGCTAAGAGAGGAATTTAGAATGTCATTGACTGCTGGGTTTTTTTCTGTCGTCTTGTATACGTATATTGTATGTAGAAGTTGATGTATGCATCTATATGAATTTCAGTCTATATGAGAATACTGAGGATGGAGAAAATACTAAGCTGTAGTTTCTAAAATAAATAAAGTCTTTAAGATGTATTTGGTTTTACCCCTTCAAATTAAAAGGGAACTAACCATGCTGTTGCTCCTTTGCTAGGTGGTAGGCGGCATGACGTGGTGTATCACTACTTGCAGCGTTGATATCGATGTTGATTTATTGTTTCAGGAAAACTCTACTATTGGTCAAAAAATGTAAGTTGATTAAACGGCAACTGTGGTATTTTTTTTTCTTCTTGGAAAAGAAGCAGCAGGTGGGGGGAGGAAGTTTGCTTGTTTGTAAGAAAGATTTCTAGTCCAAGTTTCCTGCTTTTCGAGACCACCAATTCTCAAAACATTGCACTAGTTTCTGGCTTTCTCAGTCTGTAGTTCCACAAACTTTATAAAACCAGAAAGAAGCTTATTCCAAAAAAGGCAGTGCTGTTCCCCTCTGGGCTGCCATGTTCTTATATCCCTGCTAAGCAGTGAAAGCGTTTATGTGGCTCCACATTGAACTGGATTGGGAACTGATCCAGATTAAAACCTACCAAAAAATAGAAGAAAAATAGTTTTAACATGAATCAGTTCCTGGATTCAGTTCTCTATGCAGCTGCACAGATGCTTGTGCTGGCACAAGGGGATGATGCAGAGGCCAAAACGAAGGGCAGAGGGGGACCACAGTGTTGGAAACTAGAGTGCAACATTAGAAGACTTTGCTTGAGTTTGTTATGTCTGCAGTTCTGCTGTGTGAGTAACCTGTAATTCTCCCGTATTGGTTCTGGGTTGGAGCTGTTGGCATCAGCAAACAGAATTTAAAGCATGACACTGTTGCTGAGGCAGTTACTGCCCCATGCTGAGGAGGAAGAGTTCCTTCCTGATAGTGACCCAATGAGACCATTTTAGTTTGATTTATTTCTTAGGCATGGCATTTGCTCGTAAGCCAGCTAATTCCTGTATTAGGGAGGTTGTAAAAATGGTTTATGCTGAGAAAGGGAATACATTCTAAACTACGTTATGTCTTTATGCATTTCTGTAATAAAAGAGCTGTAATTAAAATTTGCAGGAAGTGAGAATAGTCTGTCAAGTTACAGTTCCTTGAAGAGTCGTGTTTGCTTAGTGTAGTTGAAAAGAACATCTTTCTCTGCTGTTTCCTTGAGAGCCGTTTAGCATCGGCAAGGCTATTAACACATTTAAAAATAAAGATTTGGGTTATTGCCGTTAAACTGGGAGATGCTCAAATCATCATAGGTAACTGACTACATAAAGCATTGTTAAGTGTACAGAACTAAGTAGAGACTAGGAATGAAGATGGTGTGGTAGGTTTTATAATTGCCAAGATTTTATAATTGCCATCTTTGTTATCCTTAAGAACAGCAGGATGGGAAACAGTTAAGTTGTTCTGAAAATGCTCTGTTATCTTTCCAGCTGACTGGATGCAAAACTGGCGAAACAAACCCAGGCTCCTCTCCCAAAACAGCAACAATGATTTATTTGTAAATCTTAAGTGTTCAGAGTCACACAAGCATAGCCGGGTTTGATGTCCCTGTAATGTTTATATTAGTGGTGGGTCAGCGCTTCTGTGATGTTGTGAAGATAAGGAAAAGTTGTGTTTTCTCAGTATTATTCTGAAGACATTTTGATGGTGCCCTATTATTTAGTTGCTGGGTTGAAATAAACATGGAAATATACATTAGGAGAGGATCTTGTGTCTATTGGATAAAGAATTTTTTTTTTTTTAATTGCATTTGCTTTGATCATGCTGAGAGGCACTGCTGTTTTCATGTTGTAGAATAATATGTTGTAGTATGGTGCCATAGTGGAAATTGCCTTATAAGGGTTATGTCAAAGTTTTCACTTCTCTTAAGAGGTATAACTTTTCAAGCTCTGTTCCCAGACTTTGGTCTCTGTCTAGTATCTCTTGCTCCCCTTTTGTCCTTCCAGAGTATCAGTTGTCCATTTGGGCAGTACTGAATACCACTGAGGTCAGGACTGGGCCAGTTAATTTTTTTCCTTCATGGAAAAATAGTTTTAGTTTTCCCAGTACAGTGTTCACCCTTAGTGCTGACACCTGCTTTAAAAAATGTGCTTGGTGGCATTGGCAGTAAAAAAATACCTTGCCCTAAAATAAGGGATTTGGTGGAAGCAGGGTGATGTTCTTGTAGATGAATCCTTTATGTTAGGGTAATCCTTTCACTTGACCAGCTCTTACCTGAGCTGTAGAACGAGATGGTTGCCAGCAAATTCAGGTTTACTCACCTCAAAACTGTGAAGTGTACACAGTATTTATTTAGTTTTTAGATGTAGCATATATTTAAACTCATAAAGTTTCAGTAGTGATGTCAAGATAGATTTTTGGGTGTTTGGCTAAACAGATTTTTAAGTCCTTACATTTGATTCTGGACTCTTATTGAGAGCCTATCTTTTACTTATTCTAACTGTCCTTAAAGCTAATGTTTCTTCATGTCTGCATATATTATAATGCACAAAGGTGTTTGTAGATATATCTTACGTGGGCATTTCATCTGACCAGACATGCAGATCTTAAAATTGTGTGTGTATTGCTGTAAATGAAATCACAAGCTAGGAGCCTGCAAGAGGAGTTTAATCATTTCCTCACAGACTAATAATATATGTATATAGTACCATGTAAAAGCTATTTTGTAAATGAAAGTTTTGATTGCTTTTCACAGCTGTATACAACAGAAGCCCCCAGAGGGAACCTTCTAACTGTGTTTGCAAGAATAATTTGTAATTTACGAAAGAAAATTGTAGCATATATACACACGTGTGTTTTTGTTGTTTTATGATAGTGCCTTAACTGAAAAAATTGTGTCAGTATTACCAAAAATGAAGTGCCCTCATCGTTTGGAACCACATCAGATCCAGGGACTGGATTTCATTCATATATTTCCTGTTGTACAGGTAATAATTTTGTGATGTATCAATACTTTGCTGAAAAAGGCCGTAAAACATGCATAAAAATTTCAACAAAGATCTGTGTAATTGTTTGGCTCTTTATTTAACTTTGAAATGGATAATTGCAGAGAAGCAATTGAAATGAATGTTTTTAAAGAGTTGAGTGATGTTATGGACAATAGAATTCTTAAGTATAGTTTGGTCCATGTTTAAGAAAAACACAAAACAAACTCTTTAAATTCTTTGAAATGGAGTCAGAGTCTGCCTTTTGTGGAATGTCTGCTTAAAGAAACTGAAGTTGAAGCTTGTTTTGGAATCTGATAATCTACTTTGCCCGACTAGGAAATAGAGCAAATATCTTACAGTCTGTTTTAGCTTATGGAGTCAGTTATGGAGATAGTAATTCAGTCAAAAGGATATGAATAAGGCAAAAGCCAGTTGGGGTTGTTTCTTTAAGCATAATTCAACCTTCATTCATATCACTTAAAAACTGTATGGGTAGAAAAATAAATTGCTCTGACGTGTGATCCTATTACTGTGTATTTGTTGAGCACCACTAACTGGCCATGTGCGTGCTCATAGTTCTCCATTTTATTAAGGTTTAAGCTAACACGTGATGTATTCCAGTTATGCGTGGTATCTTGAGAATCCTTGGTATGTTGTTATCTTTTTTTCTGTTTTTACTTTCATCTGCACACAGAAATGCATCTTTGATAAATAGGAAAGATGAAGACTGTTAAGCAAGTTTCTTTTTCGTTAGGTATCTCCTGCCTGTAAAAGAATTTAGCAAGTAAGAGTTTAATCTAAATTCCAACTTGTAAGAAGTGGGGAAAACTTCCTATTGTCTCTTTCTTGTTATCTTCTAGTAGGCGGCTCTTTAGGAAAACCGCACTTAACTGCACTCCCCACAAAAGGTTATGTGGTATTATTGTTATACAGCTTGCAAGCTGTGTTGGTGCTGCCGAAGATGGAAAGTTTGTATGTTGTTAATGTGAGTTTTTACTTCTAAACTTGTGTTTTCCTACCAAAAAAAAATAAATAAATCCGAACCTCAGTTAATTTCTTGCCCTGGTCACTTGATGATAATGATCATGATAAGGAATGGTTACATTGATCAACTAAGACTTCTCTCACAGGAAAAATAATTCCTCTCCTAAAGTGAGAACATGAGCTATTATTTCTGCTGTGAAAACTGTGGCACTAGATATTCTCTTCTCTGATCTGCTTTATCCAAAATCCTGATTTGGGATATTTCCTCTGGAAAGGAGAAACATTAATTCTAAGCAGGGAGGAAATCAACTCATAGATTTCTCTGAGCCGTGATTCTCAGTATTAGTAGCTGGCCAGTAGGTGGTATATCTAATCCTTACTTGGTGAAGAAGTCTCTCTTGATGAGCTTAGGTTTTTGTAAGTAGAGGATCTTTTTTTAGAAATTGTGGCTTTCTGTCAGATCCCCGTGAAGTTCTGCCTGTCCAAGATACTGTTGGTTCCTCATTTTGTCCCAGCCAAGATAGACTTGCAAGAAAACTTGTTGGTGTCATCAGTACACTGTGTTCTGAAAAAGACCATGCAGGAGCTGTAATAGGCCGAATACACCATGGCATGTAGGAATTATGTATTTGATAATGACACTTTACTCAATGACCTGTTAAATTCAAGATTTCACTTGCTATCTGTAGATTTCAAATCAGTCCCCAAATAATACAGAAGCTCTTTCCTCCAGTTGGCATTGTGTCCCGATAGCTCTTACACTGTGCAAGTTAGGCTGGTGAACTTGACGGGAGGCATTTAGAGGAGTCCTTCCCTACAGGAAGAAATCAGATTGAATTGGCTCCCTGCCATAGGCTGTAGCAGACCTTAAAAAAACAAACAAACAAAACCCTAAAAAAGATACCAGCGGGCAGAGATGATGCTGTTCTTCCTAGTAAATTCTGCTTGTGTTCACAGAGAAAAGCATGCACACAATCTTGTGTTGAGATGTGCTTTGTAATTAATAGTCTGCATTTTATCTCTCTCGTTGTCATCATCTTCCTCTCGCTTTCCAGGGGTTCATGGTTATAGCACAGAAAACAGTTGCTGGTTCAAACTTGGATCCCAAGGTTGATTTGATCTCTTATGTGACCTCCTGCACAGGCTGTTAACAGCTGACAAGATTTATCTTCTTGAACATTATTTACAATGTACTTCAATCTTTTGTGGCTTTTTATGTGGTCTTATAAATGTCAGAAGAAGACTTTTTTTTCTTACACGGGCATGTGGTTCTTGAACAATTCATAGGCTTGAAGAGATGCCTCTTTGTGGTGGAGCTGTAGTTTTTGAAAACAGTAATTGATCTATAGTAGCAAAATTTGATAGAACTGCATATAACCTAGCTGTAATGGGTTCTGCCTGGAGTACAGCCTCACTTCATGAGAGGAGGTTGTGCTCCAGGTAGTGTTTTCTGGCAGAGTATGATGGACTAATGATACAAGACAGGTTCAGTGTTGGGTCCTGACACTGACAGCCCAGAGCATTTTCTGTTCAACTTGAATTCCTTCAAATTCCAGCACAGCTCCAGCCTGTCTCCTCCCACTCCAACTGATAGAGATGAGTGTTGTGAACAGTTCAAGCTTGCTTTGTAGAAGGATGGCCATACCGTAGCCCACAGACTGTATGAAAGCCACCTGGACTACCCATTTGTTTTAAAGTACGCTCCCAAGGGATGCTTTGGAGTAGAGAGGGATGAACCTGTATGCCTGCAAAGTATAATCCCATTTTTGTATATGTGCTGCAAATTCAATGTTTCCTAGAACTGAGTGATTTATAACTTATTCAGTATGGCCTGCTCAGTAGAAGGACAATATCAATAGCTTTTAGAGTACAGTAGAGTTTTGGGTCTTTTGAATGTAGAATAGGGTGTATGTTGTGCAGGCTGGTGCAGCTGAGCTCTTGGCCTGGTGAGCGTGAGGTGTGCTGGCTGTTCCATGGTACAGCTGAAAACAAAAAGCCAGAAAATTGTCATTCCTTTATTTCGTGGACTACTGCTGTATATTTTTCTATATTATGCATTATTCTGTGTTTTGATATTGTAATGTTATTAATGGTTAACAACTAATGAATACTATAGGTAATATAAGTGCTTAGCATAGTGAAATGTAATTTGTTAAAACTTATTTTTAGCTTAAGTAGATTTCTTCTGCTAGGAGGTAGGGTTTATGCAACTCAGTTTTTTGGGAGGGCACTTAAGGGGTTTTGGGGGGGATATTTTTGGTTTTTCCCCCTTAAAGATGCAAGCTGAAAGAATAATGTTTAAAGTGGCTCACATCCATTTCTATTCCACAGATGGAATTATTTTCCTTTTTGGAATGATTTTATTGAAGATGTAAATATTTGGATTACAGAAATTCATTTGGCAAAATTCCAATGAACTTTGCTTATGCTTGTGAAGATTTCACATGGTTTTGTTTATAAATCAATGTTGACTAAGAATTCCTAGTAGTTGAAATTTGCAATAGAATTTTCTTTCCATACTTACTATCAGAAATCAATTAGAATGTAAAGGTAATTCAGTATGTGAGACATTACAGTGCAAGCTATATAAAGGGGAGATTACGCAGCAAAATTTTGCAGTACATGATTTACAAATAACACTCAGAAAAGCAGGCTCTGCTCCAAGGAGCTTATAAGGGAAGGCAATTTGATCTTCTTTGGACTATTGGATCCCACTGTAGTATGAACAGTATGGCTCATCGGGGTTTGTATGGTTCAGTATAGTTCAACAGAAGAGTATTTAGGTTTTTATATGTAAAACTTTGATTATAAGAAAAGCCATGTGGTTTCTTAGCTCATGCATTATCTGTTTGCTCTACTGAGCTTTTTAATAGATAGAAGAGCAGCAAACGTGAAGTTTAAAAAATAGCTAGTGCTGAAACGTTTTGTTAGGAGTAGGTCCCTGAGTTACCGTAAATGTTCTTGTTTGTGTGCTTAAAATGTGCTTTTAGCTTTTAACATGTATTAAAAATAATTATGCAGTAGTTAGGTGTTTGCTGCTGTTCTTCTTCCCCTTTCCACTGATAGAAATTTTTTTTTTTTCCCAGTGGCTGGTGAAACGTGCAATAGAAACAAGGGAAGAAATGGGAGACTATATTCGTTCTTACTCTATATCACAGTTTCAAAAAACTCATAGGCTACCAGAGGTAAGATCAAGCCAGTTCTTGTTTCTGTTATGTCAAATATTCAGGTACAGTCCCAGCTTCACAGCTCTGAAATCAGCACAATATACCGGTGTTACCTTTGCTATCATTTTGTTAATCAGTCCTAGAGGAATCTGTGTACAAATTCAGCTGGGAAAAAAATGAAAACGTTATTATGACACAGAGTTCATAGATAATGGTTTATTAGTTGCCTTAGTTTTTCTGCAATATTTGGTGCTTCTCTGTCAGTCTGGCTTGCCAGGTAGCTCACTTAGGGAGTGGATATCAGGCTCTGTGCAGTGTATCCAGGCTAACCGTGTGACTGGAGCTGCATTGCCTGAAATGTGTTTGAGAGCACCAGGCATGCTGTGGAGACGCTGATCTAGCTAAATGAAAATTGATATGCCGTTTATGCTTTTTAACTTGTCTTTTGTTGGAGAGTGCTCAAAGTCAGCTCCTGTCTCCCTATATCCAAACCCCAGCATTTGTTCTTGTAAACCAGATTCCTAAAAAACTTGATTCAAAAACTGAACTTGGGGAAAGCAAGAGAGACAGGTTTGGGTTAAAAGGAAATACATTTGTCTCTGTACAATACAATTGCCAGAGGAGTAAGAGGTGCAGTTTTGTCGAGAAGTGTAGTGGTAAGAGTAATGTTGCACAGTTTGAGACACCTTGATCCCATTCCTTCTCCTTCTGGTAACAGTCAAATGCTGCCCACTTTGAAGCTGTGTGCTTAGAACAGTGTTGTGATCCTCTCTTCTTCCTGTTCTTCAGTAATGCTGTGAAGTTTCCTTGGTGCAGGAGGAGAGCTGGAAAGAGCTTGGATTTGTGCCTATAGTGCAGAGCCATCTGTTCCGTTCATGCATATCCCAAGGCAATTCCCTATGTAAATCTAGAACCCAAATTTCGTCTCTAATTCACTAGCAGCAGTAAAGGGAGATGTCCCTAGTATTGGGAAAGGCAGATGGATTTTATTAGCTTGGGGTGGTTTGGATTTTGTTTCAGGGTGGGGGGTTTTTCATTGTTTTCAATGCTTAGAAACTAAAATAACAGTAGGGGAAACTTCTCTTTTCCATGTTAAGCCCATCCCAACTTCATTTCTTCATAATGTAGTAATGATTGGAGATCCCGGAGGTGAGCTGGGATTGCATTTGTGTCAGGTACTGTATAAGCGGTACTGCTGATCTGGGTACAGTTTTAAAGACCTGCCTGCCTATCTGATGAGAGAAGCAAGTACTTTCTGCGTTGCAGGAAATCACTAACTTTTCACCAAATAATTGGGCAGCTCAGCTAGAAACTATTTGACAACTTTGTTTGCTAAACTCATTACAATGGTTGCGATTTAATCTCCATTCCTGGTATTTTAAATCCCTTCTGTTAATGTTTTGCAGGATGATGAATTTATGCAAAGAAAAGAGAAGGCCATCAAAACTGTTACTGATATCTTTGTAAGTATGTTAGACTTTGATGCTCAAGAAGCAAGTGGGTTTATTAGTGAAATGGTGGTGGTTAATTCTGTTTAATGCAGCCAGTCCTGGGTTTTCTTGTGAGACTGTCCCAATTAAGTTACATGTTGAGCTTCATTCTTAGAACAGGTCTCAACATACCAGATTGAAAACCTTTTAGGTGTGCACCATACGAGTAGATAAATCATATTAGCTGCCTGCACAGAGAGTGCGGAGTTCCACGCTATCAAACAGCAGTCATAAGGTAGCTTACAGGCTATTCAACCCTCAGCAGACTTAAGTGTTTGTTTGACGCTGTCAACAGTTGGACTGGTTATGTTGAAATTAATCAAATCAAAATGCTGATGATCTCCTCAATTTAAATGTCTGCATTTCAGAACTTATCTTTTTTTACTTCTTGTAAGTAGCAATGAAAGTACACACCCTCCTTTGGAAATGTCATGTGAAATACATAGGCTGTATCAGTGTCTCATACCTAAATTCAGATGCCTAGCTAGCAATTTGAGTTTCTGTCCTTGCTGTCTCTCTAATTTCCCTGTTTGCTTAGGACTGTCGGTTTACCATTTCTGACTCCCAGCAGTTCACTACCTTTTGTTGGGTTTTTTTTTTTTTTTGGACCATCTTGATAAATTCACAGGCCAGCATTTGAGAACGGATGAGAAATCTGGGTATGCTTTGAATGGGACACTTCCAAGGCTCTTCAATAGGTGGTGAAAATCAGTGCTATTTCAGGTAGCTCTAGCCAGGCACCCTGAACTTCTCATCCATGGTTAGAGGTGTCAAGTGTCAGTGTAACAAGCTATACAATAGCTTGCATAATGGACCAGACAAGTCATCTTACTCTTTTGTCATGTTTTGGAGGCAGCTGTATTTCCATGTTAACCACCAGAGTGCCGCTGAGCCTAATATATGTGCTTGAGCCACAGTGTGTGTTTATAGAAAAACATTGCTGTGAAAGTCTCCAGGTGATGACCAGTGCAAATCCTTTGTTAATCTATTTGAATAGTTACTCTTGCTTTGAAAATTTCAGTTGCAGTTTCGAACTGTTGTTCCCCATGGCTTGGTTGATTTTTTTTTTTTTTAAATTTTATTTTTTTTGTTGTTATTAGCAGACTTACAATGAGTCTGTCACTCCAACCACCAATACTTGTCTTTCCAGTGAGATCTGTTTTCCATTCTACAAGTTAGCTCCCCTTGAAAACGGCTATTATTGTTTTGTTTGAGCTCCTGTATAACCCTTTAAATTAAGAGAGTGTGCAAACCCATGTAAGAAAGCAGATTCCAAATGTGCGTTGTATCGAGCAGCACTTGAAATTCATTGAGCTTCTCCTTATTTTTGATTTTTCAGAATGATTGTCCTGATTTTTCAACTGTTTCAAGTGTCTCCATTTTCTACCTGCATGGTCTCTAAATAGCACTAAAGATTCTGTATCCAAGTGGCTGATACCAACCTTGTCACTGAAGAGACAGAAACAAAGTAATCACAATGCTGGTATGAGACACCAGTGCCTAGAATTTTAGTGTCACTTAAAAATATACAGAAGATATTTGATTAACAGTGATGAAGGGATCCCTTTTGGTTGCTGAGGAACAGAGGTGGTTTCAAGGTTTATTTTATGTTCTAATAATTTGGCTTTTTAAGTTTATTCGGTTTCATTAATGCATTTATTCAGAACAACTTGTCTGCAAAGAAGGAATGCAATCTATTTTCAGCGTGCAGTTACCTACTAAATGTCAGGTCCATTCAAGTGGCTTGTCCTAAGTCCTGTGGTGCTTGGTTGGGTTTCCTTTACGCATCTGCCTTCATGTTTTCCACAATTCCCTTTTAGGGCTTGGTGAGAATGACATGGCAAAGATGAAGCTGGTACGTGTGTGCCAGATCAGGTGTTTCTTTGCTGGCTGAAGACAGTGAATGGGTTTTCACTTGCCCCAGTATATTAAGGCTGTTACTTATTCATAGGTCATGGTCCTGGAACTAGATATGCATGTGTCTATTTCTGCAGCTAAGGGAATAGTTCCATATTCAGGGTCCAAGAATGAAACAGATAATGGAAAGCAAGAAAAACAAGGTACGGTTTAAAAAGTGTGGTAGTCTTTTGAACCATTCAGGTAGCCTGTCTGAATACTTCTGAACAGCTCTCCTGCCTTTGAGTGTGCTGGCTGCTCTCTCCAGTTTGGTTCTATCTTCAGGGTTGATAAAGGTGTATTCTTCAAGGTTGATAAAGGTGTATTCTTCAGGGTTGATAAAGGTGTATTCTGTCTTCCCTGGATCACCGATCTCTAGTTTTCAGGTGCATCTTCATGGTGAAGTTTTGACGTTAGTTCATAACTGCTCAGGGTACCATTACACAAACACCTCTTCCTTGAATATATGAGCTCTGTCAGGATTATATCTTCTACAGCTGGCACCTGATCTGGCAACAGAATATTAGTTCATGAGATTTCTTAAGGCATCAAGGCAGGAGTGCAGCCTAGAAGAACACACAGAGTGAATTTTTAGGGCAGAAGGTGCGCAAGCATTCCTATCTGTCCCAGGAACTGGAAGAAGGAGGAGGTGGCTATTCGATTAAGGCTCTTTTACAGGTCACCTTTAAAACATTATGCATTGGAATTGGAAGAGAAATCCACTTTCCTAAAAGAGGACCAGCAAGTGTAAAAGATTAGTCTGTTGTCTGAATTCATTATTTTAACTCCGGTCTAAGGACCTACCCTTCTCTTCTCAAGGGGACAATACAGTGAGATTTACGGTCACGATCAGGCCTAAAGGTTAGAAAAGGGAATATAAAATATCAGCAATTGGTTATTATGCTGCTGAAAAATGACTGTCTAGTGAACTGAGATTATCTTGGCGGTGGTTTTGTTCAACTACTCAATTATCTGATGCCAAGACTAATGTTTATGGTATGATGCTTGCACTTTATGTAGCATAGGTATAATATGGAATGCCATCCTAAAAGCTGTAATTACTTTTCTGACTTACATGGCTTTTCTCTAGGTGTGAAAGTACATTTTGTGGGAGATTCTTGATCATGAAAAGCTTTCTGATGTGACAGTCAAAAATGTAGCAAGATTTAATAGCTGGAAACAAAGGTGACAGAAATTGAGGTTAGAAATGAAGTAAAAATTGCAAGGGGTAACCGACAAATTCAGGAGAAACATGCCAAGGAATACTGTCTGTTTTCACTTGTTTGAAATGTCTACTTTGGGATTACTTGTCTTTGAAAAACATTGAAAGCTGTTTTGGCAGTGTTATGGTGCAGGAATTGCTTGTTGAAAATACTACTTCGTGTGGGACAAAAAGTCAGATCAACCAAAAAATAATTCTCCTTTTTTATTTTCTTTTAGAATCTTTGCAACTTTTTGCATGGGGTCTTTTGTCCCATGTGAATAGTGTTTTCTGAAATTTAATGTGTATGTGGAAAGCCCAAGCTTTGATTTCAACTTTTGTTTTTGTAATGTGTTTGTTCTAAGTGTTCTGAGCCTGGCCCTCAAAGGATTTAAAATACATGAATGTGAAACAGACCAGGAGAGAGGGGTGTGTTCCTTTTTGATGCTGGTTATTTGGTGGTGGTGATAAGGTTTTCTCTTCTGTGATGAGAGCTGGAATTTCATTTCAGAACAGGAAGAGAAAATTTCATCTCATTGATTGAGGGGGACACTTTTTAAAAAAATACCAATTGGAGTAAAAAGAAAAAGTCTTTTGAGACCACAGGTTCTTGATTAGTTTTTTTCAGTATCCTTGCTAGCAAGATAGCGCTAAATACCAGACTTCAGTTAACTTCAAAGTCTTTATTGCAGCAGCAGAAATGTTGCGTTGCAGACTCATTGCACCCTAATCTTTCACCAAACCAACAGCAAAAATAATTGCAGTCAAAGTAAATGTTGTCTTGGTTCTGATTTCTAATTTGGGGAAAGCTGAGGATCTCGTGATTATTTTTTGTTTGGTTTGTTTTTTTGCTTTGTTTTCTTCATGCTTGAGATAGAATAATTTTTCTAATATTGTTGTATAGACTTTTATAATGATATAGTTGATCTATATGGAAGGAGGAAGATAAAAGATACTTTAATATGTGCCGTATTTACAGTGCTATAAAAGTTGTGTTTGTGTTAACAGTCAGGACAGTGGCTCTGTGCTTTTGTTTCCTTTGTTGTTTTTTTTTTAATTTGGAAGTAGCTCTGTCGCCACAAAATATGAATCCCTGTTTTATTTGATGGGCTGTTGTCCAGCTATAGGATCACATTGGGATAGCATGGGATTGAATGATTTTTTTAGTATCAAACTTCTTAAGATATTTCTGTTCCTTAAATTGCGATAAAATCTGCTTTAATTCCATTGTAACCTGTGATCATTGAGAGGATAATAATTACATTTAATTGTCTAGTAAGAGATTAAAACCAGAATTAACTCACAAAGGAGGTAACACTTCTAGGCACTGGCATTATCAGCTAAATCATGGGCCTTTTTTTTTTTTTTAATGGATGTTGCTTGTGTTATTTTTGACTCTTCTTTCAAATGCGGTGGAGGAGGTGGTTGAAGAAACCGTGTTTGTTGTTAAACATTTATAAAGAATTTTTAAAGTCTGGAAAGACAGGTCCTTTAGCAAATTGTGTAGAAGTAAATTTGGTAAGATTTTTATCATGTAATTCCAAAAAGAGAAAGTGAAGGATGTTTATTTGTGTGAGTATATTGAGTTGGAAAGCAAAGAGTGGTATACAGCACTCTGGATAACAATTCATCATTCACTTCAGAAAAGCCTTTTACAAGCTCTGAATTCATTCACTGTCTTACAGGAGGTTTACAAACCCCAGAGAAAATATAAACGTCAGAAGGGAGCTGAAGAACTGCTAGATGAGGAATCAAAGGTTCATGCTACGCTTCTGGAATATGGCAGGTGAAAGGCTTCATTTAATTGTCTGTGGGGTTTGTATTGTGTGTATTTAGAAGCATTCTCTTTAAAATTTGGATTGTGGGGGATTTTTTCCTTCTACTTGAGAATCAAACTGGTTTGGATTTACTCCTGTCTGGTTTCAGATTTTGTTTGCTTACCCTGTAAATTCTCTGGGGACTGCAGAGTCCTCGTGTGTGGAAAAATGTTTTGTACAATGGGAGCCCAAGTTCTGACTTTATGTTGCTAGTAGGGTATGTTTATTTAACACATTTGTTCTTTGCTGCTTAAAAATGGCTCCAATTCACGATGCTTCTAGGTAGTGTCTGTCAGTCAATATTGCCTCTTTGCAAGCAGTCCCCAGAAAGTGCGGGGAAAGGAGCTGAAGCTGTTACTGCTTCATTTTGTAGTTCTGATGTGGTTGCTCATCAGGAGGCTGAATCATGGTTTAGTGCTTTGTCTTCTTACTTTCTGCAGACTTCCATATAGAGACAAAGTTACCGAGGTTTGCACTTACCAGTTACCTTTGAAAGTCCCTCTGTTTTACCGAGAGCTCTCCAAACATGGAAAAATAATGTTACAGAGTTTTTTTTTCTAGTTTCTATTTCCAGTTTTCTTTTCACAGTTTAGTGATATGGACAGCTTGCCTGCTGTCTGAGCTCTTAATCAGTGCAAATGACACTTGAATTTGGTTTTGTGTCTTTTGTGGCTGCTTCTCCCGCAAAGTCATATTTTTTTTTTATATTTTCTTTTTGGTCTCACTGTTTTGAGTACCTTCCTTTTACCCTTTTTCTGCATGTCTCTTGACACATTGTTGAAATCAGTGCGTGTCCTTGTTGCAGATTCCTTATAATCTTCCCCTTTCATGGTGGTATTTTGGGAGGCCAGTGTGGACAAATTAACATCTTTCAGTTTATTTCCCATTTAAGTTTCCCATTTATTTCCCATTAAGAGTGAAATCCTCTAATGGAATTAAACTATTGGGAGACCTCTGAGTGTCCCGTTACTCAGCAGAGGTCTTCTAACCTAGTGTGGTGGGTTGACCCTGGCCAAAA